TCTCTCTGCCATTTGAATGAGGAACTCTGGGTGAAAACCAGGATTTCTTATGTCCCGAAGAATACAACAACATTTGTTAAAAGACACCACTATTTTACTCCTCAACCAAGAACTTTAGGAAGTGGGGTAGGTGAGGAGAAAGGTCTTGGCAATGGCAGTTTGAGGAGAAATGAATTAATTCGATTATTTTTATGGTGTAGATCAATAGTCGTCAGCCTCTGCAGAGGCCCCTGGCCTGCAGGCAGCTGGGTAATCAATAGGCCCGCACAGAGGTGGCCTCCTCCCCGCAGCCTCTCTGATCTTTTCTGGGTAGACTCTTCACGCCTGTGTAATTCTAATTTATGTCAACTAGAAATCAAAGAAATTCCAAGAGGCTTTGGTCATAGGACATTGGGGTGGACCTTTCACAATCCATTTGTGTCTGTTCCTTAAGCACTGTGGCCCCTCGGCCCTCCAGGCGACTCCACTGGCCAGGCAAAGAAGCCTCCTACAGAAGCGCAGCCACCGTGCAGGCCGGGCAGAGGGCAGTGGAGCGGCACCAGGTAAACTGAGGCACTTTCTTCTCCCATCCATAACGCTGCAGGGACATGAGCACTAAGCATTTGAAGTGAAATGCTTTGCCAAGAGTGGCTCCCTCAATAACGCTCTTTAATGATACCCCAGACGCTGGCATTTTCAAATCAAATGAACAGTGTGTAAAATTAGTTCTGCATGAAGTTAAAAAAAAATGGAAAGTGAAAGGGAGCTTTTAAAAGCCCCAGCATTTCTTCATCCAACTGCTTTTCAAAAGGGTTTGGCATTTGCGAATTGCTGCGTTTATGATGTTATTCACTGCTCGTAACTCAGGCCTGTGTCTCCAAACTTCTGCATTCACACACACTGCAGAGGTTTCTACCTCGACACTTTATCACCGAGGGCTCCCAAACCAGCCAGGCTGCCTCTGGCGAGGTCTGGTTTCCCAGCCAGTGCCAGGCCACGGTGCTCCCTCCCTCCCTCCCTCCCTCCAACCTCCTTACCCCAAACATTTTTCATTAACCTGGAACACTGCATTTCCACTGCCCTAGAGCTTTCCCATGAGTTTTTTCTTTGTCCTTTTCAGTTTTGTTTTCTTTCCAAACTACCTTGTAAGATACGAGGAAAATATATTATTATTAGATGACAGAGATCTACAGAGAATCTAGAGTTCACTGAAGTCGTGAATACTATTTCCACGCCAAAGCCACTGATTGTCTGTAATTGTGGAAACCCAAGTAAACATATTGCTCTTATTAGAGAATCCCGTTGATTATACACGTACAAGTATTTTTAGCTAAATCACCAAATAAATGTGAGTTAAGTTGATAGGTGATTTCGGGTCAGCTCTAATTCCCAAGGTCAAGTAAGCCTTTGAACAGCCTTTAAGAATATAAGCTCACCCCAATTCATCAAAGGCGTCTCACACAGCGATTCTTCTCTCGGTTCTTACAATGCACTGAAGTTTAGGAGATTAGTGGCGTCAGCTTCAAAACCCCCTAACGTGCTTATCCATCCAGCAATCGGAAAAGCTCCTCAAACGGGGGCTTCTTACTGCACTTCCTGCCTTTACAACTGTGTGGGGACGCGGGGACGCTGCTATGCTGAGTGACCGAGGGCCCCTCCCTAGGAACTGCAGCGCTGCAGACAAATTCACTGCAGTTCAACTCGGCCGCTGTGTGACAGTCGGATTGCATGCTGCTTTCATCTGCAAAGAATGTGTTTCACAACGTGTCTCATCTGTTCTCTACTCACCTTACCAGAGACGGAGTGAAGAAAAACACCTTTCCTACAGATATTTTCTTATTCTTGCAATTCCTCAAGAGCTGAAGTGAGGGAAAAAGCTACCAGTTTGGTAAAGTACAGCTACTAAACTACATATAAGTGGCCCAAAGGAAAGAAATGGCACGTAAAAGAAAACGCAGCTGAACTTCAGCATTCCTCAGCACCACAGGGATGCAGAACCCCGAGGCAGCGACTCAGGGACCCCTGTATCCCTGCGGCAGGGTCGCCCTGACAGCACTCCTGGCCGGGGCCTCTTGCCCCCTCCTCTGCTCCAGCTGGCGTCCACACAGGGGCAGGAGGGCTCTCGGGCCTTTCTCTAGCGCTTCAGTACCCCTGGTAGGGCTCGGAGAGCAGAGTGATAGGCTCAAACTAATTTTGTTCTTACACGCTTTGTTGGCACAGAACGTAACAGATTGAGCTAGACCGTGGAGCTTCTTCATGCTCAGAGCCTAGCTTTGCTCTGTTTCCTGTTTCGATTCTTACTTTTCACCTTTATTTTTCTCATTGTGTTATTTCCCTACTGATCCCAACTAGCTTCTTTCAATTCACCCGTTTCTGCCACTTTCTTCATTCCTGTGTCTGAGCAGATGGTCAGTAAGTTGATTCCAAATACAGTGTCCTAAAGAGGCTTCCATTTCCCTTTGTAAATTGTGTAAAAAGTGCAATTATGGATGCTGGCATTTTTGTGTAAAAAATAAGAATCATTTTAAATGTAGGTGAGGAAAAGGTACCAAGGCAATACTTCTTTAATCCGACTTTATTTTTCCCTCTCTTTCTAATTTCCTTTCAAAATGGGATAGTGGGCAACATGATTAGTTTCTTCATTTAGAGACACAAATATCACACAGCACAGGTTAATATAATGGCATTAGTGACAAGAATAACAGACATTATCATTCTAGGTGCTGTGTGTGTTGACTCCTTTATACACAAGGGAGGAACCAGTACCATCCTCCTTTACAAGGAGGAAAGAGGTAACAGTTGCTGCAGATGACACAACTAGTAATTGCAGACCCAGGTTTGAACAGAACTCTGGCTCCAAAGGCCATGTCCTCACTACTAACCTCCTGTGTGCTACTCAAATCTTTCTGTGAATCCTGATGATAATTTAAAATCTGGAGGCTGAAGAGCTACTTTAATCTACGTTTCCATCCAACCAAACCAATCAGCAGGGCTTTCCGCGCAGGGATTTGCTTGTGCTTTGTGTGTGGTTTGGAAATGTCTACAATTCTCACAGAGCCTCTCATGTTTGGCTCCGAGCTGCCTTTAAGTCTGAAAAAGCCAGACAGTGAGGCTGAGTCCAGCAGCTCCCTGGGCTGTGCTACCGCAGGCTGTGACCAGCCGGCATCCAGCTAGAGCCAGAGGCCTCCCAGAGCAGCTCCCTGGGTGGAGACAGGCTTCAGAGGCTGCTGCAGGAGGGGTGATACCCTCGGGGACATCACTCACCAGAATAGCATAGTGTCTCTATCTAATTGTGAACTAATTTACATTTGGGTACAAAAGAAACTATTCGTTAACTTAAAATCAGCAAGGTGCAGGTCAGCAAAGACATCTAGAATAAGCTCCTATATTAACTTGGACATAAACGTCTACAGTTCATCCCTGAAGGTGTTTCTTGTTTCTAGAGCACTCACCTATGGACCCTTTAATTTGTTTTAAAAGAAGTTATTTTAAAATGACAGGGTTAGTAGCAGTGGTAGGTCAGTGTGCAGGAGATGAGAATCCCTGGGTCTCAGAGCTGTTGCTTATTACAAAGTCAGCCAGCTGTGGAGGCTGGCTTGAGCGTATGTAATAAGATCTCCCTAAACACAACTGAGTGTCTAGCAAAGGTCTAGTGTAAGTTGGAACATTAAAGCATCTACAGAAAAGAGTTAGTCAAGTAACAAAAACGACAAAGCATGCAAGGGATTTGGGTCATTCTCCTACGTGGCCCCAAGTTTGCTACATGTAGAGAATATGTGCCCTTTCAGGGCCATTCTCCTACGTGGCCCCAAGTTTGCTACATGTAGAGACTATGTGCCCTTTCAGAGGCCTGTATCGTCAGCCTCCCATTCTCTTGCTAGATCTGTCCCCAGTGACCATCTGCATGTGTGAGTTACTGTCAGGTGACAGCACTCTCTTTGTGAGTGTCCGAGCTAGGCCTTCTCTCGGGAAGCAGCCCCATGGCCGGACACTGGCCAAGAGTTGTACCAGAAACATGGACACAGACCAAAGAGACCAAAGACCAAAGAGCAAGTGTCCTCAAACTGTGGCCCACGGGCCACGTGCAGCCCACCGAGGACATTTATCAGGCCCACTGGGTGTTTTTGCTGCTGCTGCCTGTCCTGCTTAGCAGCTGACTCGTCCTGGGGACAGCTGGCCAGCCCTCTAACAGTCTGAGGGACAGTGAACTGACCCCCTGTTTAAAAAGTTTGAGGACCCCTGCCAAGAGGGAAAGGCCTGGCTCAGTGTCCCTGGGCCAGTGATTGGCCTTTCCAAGCCCCCATTTCCTTCCCTTCACAGTATAAGCAACCATTTCTCATATCATAGGGAAAACACAGAAGTAACAAAGGAGAGAATACCCGTGTTGTACCCGGCCTTCAGTACAGATATTTGTTATCCTTATTCTCAGTCTTGGAAAGGCCCCGTGTTAAATGTGGCACCATTTCCCAAACTCACGCTCCCTGACCAGCTCACAGGCCGCCCCCTCTGTAGGGGCTCTGGGACTGTTTCTCTTCACACGCTAGGAGTGGCAGCTGATGTTTTAGGGAGATGCAAATTCCCACATACCCCTCACTGGCCCTTTCTTGTCCCCAGTGGCCAGGATACATACCTGTTGAGCACTGAAATTGCCCTTGGTGGAGAAACAACTTGGCCTTGTTCTTCCCACCTTTACTGTTGCAGTCAACTTGGAACCCAGAATAAAATTTTATGATTAGACCCTACAAAAGGCTGTTTGCCATGTGACCTTTATAATTTCGGTCCATGGACTTTTAAACAGGATGCCAACATCTAAGTTGACTGTGTATATGATTGCTTCTTCCTTTCGCATATGCACAAAATTCATCATTAAATAGAGAAATGCAAAAATAATCTCAGATTAGTTCAGAAAACCAAACAACACAAAGCTGCAACAGGGTACAGAGTTGGGGGGTGGGGGAAGGAGAGGGAATGGGACGGCAAGCCGTTGGCTCAACGGATATGGAAGAACAAACAACTCTTACTTTATCACACCTCATCAGCCCCAGGTATCTCAGGGACTTGCTGCTCTGTGCGATCAGGGTGGCTCCTCGGTCTGTAATTTCCTTACACCACCCAACATCCACCGTCTCTATTGTCATGCTGTATCGCCCAATGGCTATCAGCGCTGCAGGAAGGAACAGAGTGGAGGAAAGCATTAGCGTTAGCAGCGCAGGGATCTCTATCTCATTATGACTATTTCTCCCATTTCCTCACTAAATGTTGTGTGTAAATTAATGTTTTATAAATGAAATTAAATTTGAAATGCTTTAGGAAAGCTTGCCCTATGACAAACCCTTTCGCAAAGTGAATAATCATTCCATAATTTCCCTTTCATTGGACATAACCTTTTATCAGTTTTATTCATTACAAGGTCACCTATATTTTCAAACACTCATATCTGCAGCAGGAATAAATTAAAATGGATTTCAGATATAACATTACAAAAAACCCCAAGTACCAACTAAATTTTAGCCAAGATAATTTCAATAAATTTTTAAACAGAAAAAGCTATGTAAACACCCTTTTGAGGTGTGTTATACTGCATGTGAATTTTTTTTACCAATTGGTATAATTATTTCCACCTGTTCGTGAACTGTAGCCTGCAAGAGTCTATAGTATCTTTCACAGGGGTGCTTCTCAGGGCTGCTAGGAATTAAGAGTACATTATACATACAGCTGAATTTGTTTGGTGCTGTGCTAGAGTACAGTGAAGGGAATGCATTTGTTATGGTGAATTTCCTCACCATATCAGAAGTCCACCTATTAACATATAAAATGAAGGCTGTTATCTGAAAACTGCAGCGGTATCTCTTGGCTGTTTAGCACTATGCCACGACTAACATGCAGGTGCTGGTCCCGTAATCTACGACATGGACCGTTTCTCACTGCAAAGCTCCACGACCCATGGCCCTGTCAGAGGAACCTGTCGATGAACACGGCTCTTTTCTCTGGATTTCAGATTTGATAAACGTGCACACTTCTATATTTACGGAGGAGAAAACCAGATTTCAGCACCTCCAGCCAGAATAAGTTTATGGTGTGTTGGTTTGGGAATGGAAACTCTGAAAACAATGCCACAGATATTAAAAAGGAAATAGAAACGATTTGCTAATTATTTCCTCATTCTAAGGTGGCATAAATTGATTGCCATGACATTAAAGGCAGATGATATTTCCCAAACTGTGTTGACTAGATTGATAAGAACAGAGTAAATTACTCATGCAAAGAAATATTAACCCTTACAGCTCACAGAAAAGAATTCTTAAAATGTCTTTGCTGATTTCCTTTTTTTGTTGTTTTAACTAGAAAATTCATGCCAATGCATTCCAGTACCAAGGCACTCCCAAGTAAGCAGATACTTAATGTTTATAAAAACAACAATCATCATGTGTTCTTCAGTGAAAATACCATGGAGGAAGGCTTTTTTTTTTTTTTTAAGTTCCTCGTGGCACCAGCTTCTTAGCGCTGTCACCTTTAAACCAGCCGCTTTGGCATTTAGAGTTTCCTAAGGGAGACTTGCCTTTAGATTTACTAAAGGTTTGCAGAAGTAGTCCGAATGTTTTTGTGCAGCTGAAGCAGTATTTCAGGTTAATCTCACTGGTGTCCCTGGCCTAAGAAAACTGTCCTCTCTGGTACTGTCGTAGCTGTCACTGGTTCTCATATCCTGAAGATCTCCTGTGACGAATGCAGCAGCAGATACATACCAGAAATCTCTTTCAACATGAAGCACTCAGACTGTGATTCCCAAAGATGACAAAGCACAAGGGTGGCTCAAGGTCAGTCCCCAGTGTGCAGCTGCCTTATTGAGGTTTGGGGCTAGAATAAGGTGAATCAGTCAGTCTGAGAAGCTTCGGGATGTACGAGCTGATAAAGAGTCTGTGGATACCCACTCTGGGTGGTAAAATCACTGACGTTTGGTGTTTGTTTCTTTTTTCTTTCTTGTACCAATTAAGATGCACGATACATAAGACAACTGAAGATACATCAGGGTACTCAGGTTTTGTTTTGACCTTGTTCTATTACTGAAATTAAATTTTATGATTGCTTAACTCATTCATTTATCCAATAAATACCTCATGAGCTCTAGATACAGCATTTCTGCCAACGTTTATTGACTGCTCTAAATGTGCCAGGCCCTGGGCTAGCGATTTCAGGGGCATTATCTGATTTAATCCTCACTGCGACCCTATAAAGTCTTACTGTTATTTCCACTTTAATGATCTGAGTCCCAGAGAGATTGAATAACTTTTCTAGCGTCACAAGATGGTGAGTGGGATTTTAAGTTGAGAGGCAGCTCGCAGCCCTGGCTGCATATCGGGGCTACTAAATCAAAACCGCAGGGCGAGGCAGCCGGCCGTACCACCGGGGTGGGGTGTGAGGGGACATGCTGGGCCTGTGCTGGGCACTGTGGCACAAAGATTCCCGGAGCTCAAAGGACAGTGGAGAGGAGGTGGGGTGGGTAGAAACAACAAACAGCCACGGAAACTGTCCCTGGGCAGCTCTTGCCCCTTCATCTCTTCCCATCCCTAACTCCTCATCTTTTAAATCTCAAGTCAAAAAACAGCCGGGCGTTGTGGCGGGCGCCTGTAGTCCCAGTTACTCGGGAGGCTGAGGCAAGAGAGTCACCTAAGCCCGGGAGTTGGGGGTTGCTGTGAGCTGTGTGACACCATGGCACCCTACTGAGGGCCCTGAAGTGAGACTCTGTCTCTAAAAAAAAAAAAAAAAAAAATCTCAAGTCAAACATGAGCTTTTCAGAGCTGATCACCTTATTATCTACTGCTACTAAGAATAATCTTATTGATTTGTTTATTTTTATATGGCCCACTCCCCAGTTAGAATGACAGCTACGAGTCACTGTTGTATGCCCAGAACCTGGCGCACGGCTGGTACAGAGTTGGTTCTTAAAGATGTTAGTTCAGCATCTGACAACCATGTCAGAGGCAGGGAGAGAGGTCCAGGAACCGCTTACCCTTTGGGAGAGGAGGGGTGTCATGGAAGCCCTCACAGAACAGCTGAGTTAGGTCTCGCAGGATGGGTAAGGATTCTCCAGAAAAACAAGGAGGTCGAAAGCACTGGGCAAACGGAATGGGGAGGATGTGTGAAGGGGGGTGAGGAAGCACAGGGGGCTGCAGGTCATCCCGTGTGGCCGGAGTGAAAAGGACTACATGAGAAGTGGTAAGATTCTTTCCAGAAATATTTATATAATGATTAATGGCATGGGGGTAGGCACAAGGGACAAAGAGTAGCAAAGATAAGCAGAGTCCTTGATGCCGTGAAGCTTACAGACTAGTAGAAGAGACAGATGCAAAACAAATCAACATACAAGGAAACGTAACTCCAGATTATGCTGCGGGCACTGAAGGAACGACTGACGGCTGGGACTGGAGTAACGTTTAATGGGGGAGGACGTCAGAGAGGCTGTCTCTGGTGAAGTCACTCTTCACACCTCAAACAGCCCTGCAGAACAATGCCCAGATAGAGGCAAGAAAACTGAGGGTAAACAGCTCACCAAGGCCCTGGTTCTAACAGAGTGGCGGAACCAGAGTGTAAACTGAGGCTGTCTGGCTCCAAACCAATGGTCCTGTTACACCAGGTGCACACGTCAGAGCGTGCCTCTCCTCACCACTATTCAGGATGTGAACGTCACCCGGCAGAGGAAGCCAAGTGTTTACCTGTGACCACACAGAGGCCTGATGGAATACTGTGATTCTAATATACAGACCTCTCTCTGAATGTGCCCTGTCTTCGGAAATGTTTTCATTGTGGTTCACAGCTAGCTGTGAAACCTGTCACGTGGAACGGCCTTTAGTTCAGTTCTAGGCTGAGGGATAGTAGACGGCTTTCCTTAGGGTGACATTTAACCTGGTTCTGAATCTCAGCTTCCTCGCCTGGTCAGTGGGGACATTGACTATACGTCCTGACCTCTTCACAAGCTCAGTTTGAATTTCAGATGAGACAACAGATGTGAGTGATGTTGTATTATATAAAGGCCATGTTTACCTGCTATTTTCCCAAACCATCCTGCAGTGGTGCAGTTGATGGAAAATGAAAAGACTGGAAAGAGTTTAGAAAACTAAAAATCTCTGAGAAGATATGAACATTATGTAGAGCACTTAGTTATCATTTCACTGCTACAGTTCTTTTTTTCTTTTTTGAGACAGAGCCTCAAGCTGTCCCCCTGGGTAGAGTGCCGTGGCATTACAGCTCACAGCAACCTCCAACTCCTGGGCTCAAGCGAGTCTCTTGCCTCCGCCTCCCAAGTAGCTGGGATTACAGGCGCCCGCCACAACGCCTGGCTATTTTTTTGGTTGCAGCCGTCATTGTTGTTTGGTGGGCCCAGGCTGGATTTGAACCCGCCACCTTAGGTGTACGTGGCTGGCGCCTCAGCCACTTGAGCCACAGGCGTCGAGCCACTGCTGTAGTTTCTTGAATGGCCTCAATCTACTCTCTCTCGGTGACCATGAACTTGCAGTCTGCACCCGGGCGGGCGGGCTGTGAGGTGATGCACAATTACCACCTTCAGTAGGGCTAGTGACACACTACAGATTGTGCAAAATAATTTCCAGTTTCAATGTAATTTTAATTTAATTTTTAATGTGTTAAGTACAACTAATGAAGAAAGTTAAATTTTTAAAAAGGTATACACATCCAAAGCTAGAGTTCAGTGTTTGTGTGCTGGTCAAGGGTGGATATGATCCTATCATAGTCATTTCCAGAGGCGTACAGGTGACTGAATCACTGGCAGACCTAAGAATGTATGTGCCTAATTTTGAACCAGAAATTCTACTTACAGGAATCTACTCTGAAAAGATGTCTCTAGTAATACAAAATTGCATATGCAAAAATTATTTATTGGAGCAGTTATTATAATTGCAAAATAATGGAAAAAGCCTAAATGTATCCACACAAAGGAGGGTGGTTGAATAAACTATGATATGCCAATACCATGGAATACTGTACAGCTATAAAAAATGAATAAGATCACTAGCAACTAATCTGGAATGATTTCAAAATCATTAAGTGAAAAAAGCAAAGTGCAGGAGAGTTTATGTGGTACGCTACCCTTCACTTAAAACAAAGGGGAATATCACAAAATGCATGTGAATCTGCTTATCTGTGCAAAAG